TATTATCAGTAGTATCATATCTATCATAGATTTTCTTTAATTGTAATTTTCTTATATAAAGGGCATAAAAATGCCTTAGAAAAAGGACAGATTCTAACAGATTCCAACAAGTTCTCAATATTGTATTCAATATACATTTAATAACAATAATAAAAACACTTAACATTTTGCATACATAAAACTTATAATTTTATTCTTGTTAATTAAATAAACTCTCTAATAAACAGCGTGTCAAGTTGATTAGATTTAAGTCATAGCTATTATCTCCCTGACTTCAAATTATAGTTAACTTATTCAACGGAAAGTGTAACGTTAACAACGAACATGTAAGATTACTTTAATATAACAAAATTCCTTCCACTGAGGGCCATTTTGGAGGGGCGATGGGCACGGCCAAATACGTACAATGATTTCATTAGTGCATTTTACCCAGTTGCTTTTTACTAATTTGTATTGCAAATACAATTCGACAATGAAATTTCCTCAAGTTCAATAGGTCTATTACAATATCTTTGTAGTGGAGAGAGATCTGTTTTCATAGTTCCTTGGTCTTTGTTATTTGGGTCATTTTCATTACTATTACAAAGCTGCCAGTTTGCCACTTTGTTAAGATTTAAACTAATGAAATTTCAGCTACTATGATAGAGTGGTAATTGAAGAAGAAGGTGGCAGGTTTCTTAGGCTGAAAAATCGTGTTCTCCCACTGTATGAATAAGCAACTTTTGGAATACTTTGATACCTGAATCATTAGGTTTATCATTATAAAGAGTTTTATCTAACACTTCTAAAAAAGCCAAGGACTGTGGTTTAGCTTTATTAGCATATTTTGAAACATATTGTAAAGCGGCATGTATTGTGAGGATGGTTTCAAATCAAAATTTGCTTCTATCCCTGTAGTTAGATACGATCATGAGGATTTATAAGTAGATTATTTCTAGCAGTTGTTAGTTCCAGGTGACCATTATTATCATGAATTATTGTTTGATCTATTAGTTCTTTAGGAAATCCAAATCTGCAAGCCTGTTAACCAGTTTGTCTATTGCTTTATAAGCAGTAGGAACTACAACATGTATGCTACTGTAATTTATTTATCAATTCAATGTAGTCTTTCATATCATCATTAAGGTTCTCAGAGTGCTTTTGGCATGGGTGGTTGTCAGGAAGAGGTACATTTGGGCTGGGATTAATTATTGTAATTAAGGAGTCTAGGTAATGTACTACTTCTTCTATTATTATTTTTTATCTTTTCCTAATCAATTTCTGATGCATCTTTTCGCTTGGCAATTCCATAAACATGAACACTACCATGATGTTGCTACTCAAATTGATACCACCAATCAACCAATTCCCATTTAGGAATCAAAACTTTTTCAAAAAAAACTTTAAATCACTTTTCAAAGAACCATATGGCAATATGGAGATTATCTATAAGATCTTTACGTCGACGTCTTACAGCTTCTTAAACGGTTTCTATGTCTGCAGAATTTTCTATATTAGACATAAAATTATGTAAATCTGGCCAATGCATGTCAGCTGCGCTAAATGTAAAGAAAACTATTCCTTGGGACCCTATTTGTTTTATCAAATCTAATAATTCAGCTCTACAACGCATCCAATATTGACGAGTATTACGTAATCCTTCACTATACCGCAATACTTTGTCTGCTATATAATTGTCATTTTGTATTAAATCTAAGATTTCGGTTACGGTGAGTTGTCCTTCCTCTGAATTTTGTCAAACAAATATACGACCTTCTGCTAATGCCCTCCATCTCATTAACGAATTTAAGGCAAAGTAATATCACCATCAATGATGAGCAAATTGGCTATCTTTATAAATTAAAAGATGTTTAAAATATTCTGCTGGTTTTACTTCTCTTATCTGGGTTCATTAAGGTCTGCAATTTCTAAGGGTAAAGTATAGGAAATGCTCATGTCATATATCTAGGTGTATTAAACTCATCAACTGGTGAAACTTCATTAGGTGGCCAATCAAATCTCGGATTATTATGATTTTGTTGCGCTTTATTTAGAATTTCATTAATTGCTCTGTTTTCACTAAGTCTGGTAGGTAATAAAGGAACAAATGTTTGTGAATTGAAAGGGTTTTTATGATTTTCATCCTTATCTTCATCATTTAGTCCTTCTTCAGAGCTATGAGTTCCATCCTCTATAAATTGTGGAAGTTTCTCTAAAATCGAACCATTTTCTGATAAAGTTTGTAAGATTTCATCATCAATATTGATGTCACAATAGAGTTTATTGTTTTTCTTCAACTAATTAAGAGCTCATACTACTCTTTCCTGACGAACATGAAAATCCTAAAAATTAGATTTTTCTTCAGAATAACATTGAACAATAAGTAAATCTAACAATGATGGATCACATGAAAGTCGTGCTGCAAACTTCTGCACATCTTATGAAAAATTAATAATGTTTTCACGATATGCATGTTGTCTTCCAGAAAGGGTATATACTGAAATGACCAGAAATACTTATGCTATTAACATTTCTTTCATATCAGTTAAATCCTTAAGTTCTTGCGGAACTTCACCTAAAAATTAATATAATTTTAATTACATACTTAAAAATACTTAAAATACATGCTAATCAATACCCACCTGGATCCATATTATTTTCAACTGAAAATCTTTTAGGATCGATTTTCTCAGTATTGCATTGACGGCACTGCTCTTCAATAAGCACAATAGATGAAAATTGTTCATTGCACGTTTTACATAGATTATTTTTGAGATTGTTAATTGTGTTGCAAAATTGCTGTAAAAGCTTCTAATCAGGAGTTAAAATACTTCTTAAGTCATTTTTTCAACGTATAGTACTTGATTTCCTTTGCGAAAGTCTTATGGTAAGTTGATTTAAAATTTCTTTAGCTCTTCTAAGTAAATATTTCTTACGCACATGAGCGCGTCGAGCTTCTTCTTCAACTATTAAGCATCCTTCAAGTTCCTCATTAGTTACTTCACTTACTCTGCGTCACTTTTTTTCTCGATCTTATGCCAATCGTTCCTCACATTTTTTATTGGTCTCTTCACTTGCTCTGTGTCTTTTTCTTTCTTGATTACATACTAATCGTTCCTCACATTCTTCATTAGTCTCTTCACTTGCTTTACGTCTCTTTCTTTCTCAGTCACGTACCAATCATTCTTCATGTTTCTCATCAGTCTTGTTAGTAATTTTCTGTCTTCTCCTTTTCTGATCATATGCCAAATGAGCTTCTTTCATATCAGCTAGCATATTCTCTTTATTCTCTTTATAATTCTTAAGATAATTTGGAAAAGAAATTATACATAGATACATTTAAACATTATTACATTTTCATTAATCTTACCATTTTGTAATCTGGCGTAATTTGAAGTTTTATTGAAAATACAAGATTAAGTCAGATGAAATAATGTCTGAAATGTATACGAAAATGCTCACAATTTTTCTTATAAATAAAGAAAGAATTTTGATTAAATCGCTAATCACATGATTTACATATTATTGTTTTGATTAAAGAGACGTATTATAGCTTTTTTCAGAAAAAACAATGTGAATTTTTGATTTTTTTACATGCAAAATCATTGTTAAGCATACTTTTTCATAATTTCAGATAAAACAATATGCAAATATATCATTTTTAGTTAGAGATGTTATGACTGTATTATAAAATTTATTTATGTTTAAAAATTTAACAATTTCAAAATTTTTATATTAATATACATAAATTTATACATTTATTTTAATAATATCACGACGGACTTCAATAATTTCCATTTTTTTAGTTAATATATATATTGCTCCAGAGGGATGGAATATTCCGAGTAGAATAATGTCTATATAATGTTACCAGATTTTAATATTAAGCAGTCAGGCGAAAAAAAAGTTCATATATGCATTGTCCCTAATGCTTTTGTAAATGTTGAGATCTTCAATGCACATTCTGCATGTTTTTTACTAATAAACACAAACTTTTGACGTAAAGTGCTTCACATATTTCTTCCAACTCTTTCCCCCTAATATGAATGCAAGTTAGAGAGAACATGAATGGAGAAGTTACCAGAGATTTAAAAGGGCAAGTGTATGAAATTCAAGTTATTTGTCACTTATTATTTTTTCAGCGAAATTCTAACACTATATTTGTCGTTATTATGTTTTCTTCCATATTATATGAAAATATTTATAATTTTTTATTTGATTCACCTTCAGATCATATTACCAAATTTTCTGTTATTTTTCAATTAATAGAAAATGATACGTGATATCCAAAAGATAAGTTAAAAAAAATAATTCATCAGGCAATTATAGTAGTGAAAAAAATTATGATCAAAGTGAATGCAATTCTTATATTTCACTTGCTTAAAATTAACACATACTTATAATTATAAAATATCTTGCACGTCAATATATCTCTTCTGTATTATGCGCTTCTAACTAGTTCAAGTAGTAATACAGAAAATAGCTTCATAGTATCTTCTCTACCAAGATCATTATCACCACCAAAAATGAAAAAAAGAAAGTCTATAAAGTTTGAAAAAAAATAATCTAATTGTTATTTTGTATTACTATTTCAATAAACCTGATCCTGATGGTCAATTTCATATATAATAAATATTTAATTATATTTTTTCGTGTGGGAATACACTAGATAATAAAAAATTTCTTGGCAAATTTCAGCTGAGATACCCCTGCCAAAATCACATAATTTTTTATTTTTGAATATTAATATATTTATACTACATTACGCAAGCATGCAATCTGAAATAAATTGTCTCAGTAAAATCGATTCATTAAAACAATGTATTAGTGAGACTGAGAATAATAAAATTAGGGCTGAGAATCTTGAGCTTAAGGCCAGAGTTGCGAAATTGGAAGACAAGCAATCGCAAAATGAATTAATAAAAAACTTATTATCTGTATTATGAAAAACATGATCATGTATTAATTTGACGAAATTTCTTTAGCGTCGAAGCACTACTGCCAAATGATTTTTTTCTCATTGACCATTGGCCAGGTATCATGTGTATTTTTGATCAAAGTTTTCTAGTAGATCTCTCGTGACATTGACGCGTATGACTATATTCTTATAAAATTCTCAAAATTTTTCTTATAAAATTTCTGAATCTATAAAATTCTCAAATTTTTTTTATTAATTATCTGTGGTAACAATGACTGGTATACTAACATTATCTTTTCACATATATTATTCAAAGCAACTTAACCAGCTTTCTCGTTCCATAAAAATAGATATATAATAACGTCTTACATCACGAAAACATCTATTATTGCTAGAACAGGCAAGTAGTATCCATCCTAAAGTGAAAGATTTGTTAAATAAAGCAGTTAAAAATTATATTAAGTAAAAAGAGCGTCAGAAGATGAAGCCTATTATTAATGACTGTGAAATTTTGTTAAGGCAAGAAAATGAGGAATTGTGTATATCAAAGCAGGTATTGGAAAAAAAGATTAAATAGCTTCTCGACTTGCAAGAGCAATATAAGTCTCATAAAGTAGCCATGATCAGGTCTTTAGAGAAGAGTGGCGGGAAAGTCACCTAATTATCAAATTCAGTAGCTTTTTTCAAAAGTATAATTCCTGATACGAGAAAAGCTATTGCATCAGCTGAAAAGTCCATTGACCTGTTAGAGAATAAATGCCAGCATCTGAAGGATATTATTTCTGCTAAGGATAGGAAAATTATTGCTCTTGCTGATCAGATCCTTTCCAAAATGAAGTATAATGATGTAACTATAGAACTGGAAATATATTCTAGCACTCATGAAAGAAAATTATAGGTGAAGAAGCATAGTGAATCTGAACATGATCTAGAAATTAGGAAAAAATATACATTTCATCCTTAGTACCTAAGAAAATTCTATTCATTAGTTGAGGCACTTTTTTTCAAAACTTCGTCCCAACCAAGCTGTACTCTATGTGAATGCTCGCGAGGTACAGTTAGATCAAAAACAATAAATTTTTGCTCACATAATACCTTATCAATAATCTTAATCACACTATACCAGTTATTAGCGTATTGACGCATAATTCTGATTAGCTCATCTGTAATGCATAATCCATTAAATAGGTAGACATTTGTGAGATTTTTCGTATTATCTTTGGACAATCAAAGTAACTCTGTGATATATACAGGGGGGTATAAAAAGTATTGGCCACCCTGGTTAATGTGACGCAAAAGTGGCGCGTGTCGTTATACCTCT